ACGCTCCAGGACAGAACGAAAGAGTCTTTACTCCGACCTCCCTGCTGACTCTCACGCAGCTCCCTGCAAACAGACCTGGGTCTGTAAGCAACTCCGCCTGCAAAGATGTTTGCTCATCCAAATATATTACAAATGCATATTGAGCTCTGCATAATAGCTTGATAAAAGACATCATCAGCAGCTCATTCTCTGTCTCTCCCTGACACAAAGACTGCTTGACAGAGCGTGAGAGCGAGACAGGAAAATTAACCGACTGCCACCACTTTTGATGTTAAGTGGAAGTTACAGTTTTTGAGTCAATCACATGGTCATGAAGAAACAAAGGCTGCCAGTCCAACTGATTGTCTTTGTTGCTAGTGACATCTAGTGGGAAGTTATGTGATGTTGCATTTACTTGAAGTCGGGAGCGTTAACAGAGAAGGTTCATTAATGCTGGATCAGGTATCCATGTACGTCTACAGCACGTTGACACTTCATAAATTATTTTCATTTTATGACACTGAAAATAGGCAGTGAAGCTACTGCATGAACATACAGTATGTGAGGGGTTGGACTTCTTTCCTATATAGAGTACATAATATGTTTTAGTTTGTCCTAACACCGACAATTCTACCTCTCTTTGACCTCTTGACATAACAGGACCTGCTTCTAAAGTTAACATTTAAATACATGTCTAAGTATCGTGATGACAACCACCACTAGGCTCCTCCTCCTAAGAGGTCAGAAGTCTGCCACAGGCCTCCAGTCATGGTTGTTTTGTTTTTAGCAGGGCGTATACATGTTGTCAAGAGCACATCAACTCCCATTTACCAGCTGGAGTTTCTCATCCAACTCCGCTAACATGACACCTGTCACATTTATGAAAACAATGAGCATCGACAACAGCAGATAATTCACATTTCAGGTTGGGCTCATGTTCGAGCAGTCCTCATCTAAAATGGATGAGCTCATACTGTACCCGTTTCCTGTCTGAATAATGCAGTGTACTGTCGCCAGCGGTCACCCTGCGACTTGCCTGACTGTATAACATTACAGTATTCCTATTTTCAGAATTGAAGGTAGGGCAAAACATCCCTAAAATTAGCGGGGTGAGTGCTCGGTCTCTACCTCTCCCCTGCAGCAGTGACGTTAATTGCACTATATTTATACTTGAGGAGAGGCCTCATAAAGATCAAGTTTCTGTTAAGCTTGGTGTCCTCAAGTTCATGTGAGCAGAGCAGTGGAAAGCATGTTTGGTATCAAGAACTAAATTATGTGGGCATAGAATCATTTTTCAATATTCTGCTAAGAAAACACTTAGCATGCACTCTAAAGCAACGCGTCTCCCACTCTTTTTACATCTTGCTATTGCAATCATCCAAATGTAAATGCTACCCTTGTAAGCAACAGCACTCCAGCTAAAGAACCACTGACAAATCAAAGCACAGAAAGGGGTTCATTTTCAATTTTCAGATACTTAAACACTTATTTCCCCAAATTAAAATTAATGACAAGTACCGGAACATGTAGCAAAGACAACAAAACTGAGTTCACCCACAAACAAGATCCCGTTGTGATACCGAATTTTATTCAAGTATCTCCAAAACACTTTTGCTCTTGAATTACCAGTTAAATGAATCAGTTGAGAAAAAGAAAGGCAGCGACAGTTCATAGCCTGAATGTGTTGTCTGTTTAGGATTGACAGTGCCTCTAAATGCACAACTTGGTGGTACTTAGCACAGGCAGATATAAAACATTCATGATGAGAAGATAAACAAGAGGCTTTTCAAAATAAGACTAAGACACGGGAACGGCCAGACAGCCATCGGTGCCATTTCTGTGAACTGTATCTGGGGTTAGATGAAGAATTCACTCCAAAACAGAATCCAAACATCATCTTAAGACAATTAAATGACTCTTCCCATGCACACAAACATGAGGGTGTATGCTCTGTTGTTATTACCACAAAAGTCCTAGATACGAAGATGCTTTGTTGACATTGAATTGAATATCTCTGCTGATGGTGACATTACCCAGATGCAGAGGGGATATGGGCACAGTTTAGGGTCTGTCTTGAAACTGTTCATCTGGACATATGCAGAAATTTTGAGAAAATATTCTGTTTATAAATTCAGAAAATACTGATGCATTGTTAATGAAGCAGCCCCAGTCTTTTGAATTCATGGTAAGATAAGCATGTTAAACTGAAGAATAATACCATGGAAAGTCTCTCTCTCAAGTGAATTTATGCTTGAAAATGCTGCCTCTGATTGGAATATTACAAACTGCATAGGTTACAAACACCCGTGTGGAGACTGGGAAGTGTTAGCCTCATCTTCAATCACATACACATCTTTCAAATGACGGCTCTGTGAGCTGTCACCATGTCAGTCTGAAACACCACACAGCCTGAGTTATCTTTAGGTTACTTCTTGTGCTTGTAAATAGAAAGCTAAATCTGTTGCATTTCTTTTTGCCACTAGTTCATCATCTACAACACAATGTAGCTCCATGGCTGATATTTGGCACAGTAATTTCCACACCTTCCCAATACTAAAGCATAGCAGATGGTAAAGAACCAGGCTAAGTTTGGGCTGCAAGTTTGCTCAGACACATCCTTTGTGAGCTGATCTGCAAAACAAGTAAGCTATCATAGTCACTCTTCAATGTCATGCATGTTATTTGGCTAGTTTGATCATATGCTTCCTAAAAATAAAACTAGAGCTGCACGATATATTGTTTTGCAAGCGTGATTCAGATCCCTGTGTGATCTGTCTAACATGACAATGATTCTGCCGTGTTTGCATTAGCAGGGAGATGCCTTGCATCAAACTAAATGCTGACTTCTCCTCGCTAAGCTGCATAACCAATAACCTCAACTAATAACTGCAATGTAATCTATTTCTGCCGCATCTGCTGTTCAACACTAGGTGTACCAGGCAGGCAGAGCAATGTTTGAAAAATAGTTGCAGGAGGGCGCAGAGCATCTTTCACAATGCCAAACAAGTTGGATTTGTTTTTGAATCAGTCTTCTCTTTCTGTCTACATAATGAAACAAAAAGCTTTTGGTTAAAGCACCTTAGTGAGGAAAAGGGAGTGTTTGGTTTGATGCAAGGCGTCCCCTTACTATTGTCATGTGAGACTGAGATTGTACGAGGATCTAAATCACACTCACAAAATGATTTATCATGCAACCCTAACTAAAACCCATCTCTCATACAGTGCAGCCACCACCACACACAAGCACCATCATATTGTAACTCTCTTTTTTAGGGAGAACAACAAAGTGGAACTTAAAGCCTGTATCATGTTGATGTATCACTCAGCTTTATATAGCAGTAGACATGAACAATCCCGTTAAAAGTCTATGTGACTTCATGTTAGAATTAAGCTATGACTGACCAGATCTCAACCAGAAATTTCAGTGCAGAGGGCTGGATGTTTTATTGCTATGGTTTGGTCTGACACAAGCCTGACAGGGCCAGGAGTGAAGCAAAAGTGAGGACAACAGGGTGAGTAGTGCAGGGCCTCCTCATCAGGGAGTAGTGGAAGTTAGTGCAGCTCAATGAAAGCCTCTATCTCCTCGGAGATGAGCCCCCTGTAGGGTAGTCTGTGCTTTTCAATTGCACGCGCCGCCAGGCACTGAAGGGTGATGTAGTTCAGGGGACAGATGGCCGGGTGTCCGCTGCTCTGCTCATCCAACAGCTCATAGGCTGTCTTCCTCTGTGAATTTGTAGCATCAAAGTGAGCGCCAGCCTTTATAAGTAGAGCCATAATCTCTGGACAGTCGTTGTGAGCGGCAATGTGCAGTGGTGTGTTGTTCTCACAGTCACGTGAGTCAACATCTGCGCCACACTCTAGAAGCAGTGCTGCCACTGCCTGCGAGGGGAAGCGGCCCACAGGGTAGCGGCCCACAGACGTGGTTTCCTTGTCTACAGCCATGTGGAGAGGAGTGAAGCCACTCCGACCTCGAGGGTTCAGCTTTAGCAGACGGTACACTGTGTGCTTCTTCTGATGCTCCTGCTCTGGGCTACACTCCAGCTTTTCCAGCAGAAAGATGAGGTGGAGGATGATGGAAATGGCCTTGGTGAATTGAGGAGCTTCTGGAGGGCTGTCACTCTGTACCACAGCTCTCTCTACCTCCTTTACACTTTTCCCCAGCACAGTCATCAGATCATGGAAGGTGATACGTGTTGACAGGGTGCCTTTGGCCCGGTCTTGAAGAACAAAAGAAAAGAGCTCTGCAAAGGACAGGAAACTGGAAGCTGTCATGGGACTGAGAGGGTCTAGGTTACTCTGCTGCATGTCTAAAGCATATTTCCACAGGCTAATGCAACGCTCAAAGTTGCCTGAGTCAGCATACACAGCTCCCCTGTAGCGGATATAATAAGAGGTGTCCGGGTGGGATGGCCCCAGGATGCGCTCTCGAACCAACAAAGCCTGCATCCTCATTTCATCAGGGTCTGTGATCAGAGCTTCCAGCTCCTCTGCAGTGCTCACCTCCTGTGCACAGCCATAGGCAGGGATAGGGGGACCAGGTGGAGGCTTGGCCAGGGATCCAGTTTTGTCACCTGGCTGCCTCACCTCCATGGCCCTTCTCCAGTATCTCATGGCTCCCAAAAGATCCCGTTTTTTGTCCACAAAAGTAGCCCCAAGGAGTTCAAGTGCATCGATGCATTCTTCTCTTGAGGTGCGAGGCTGGTGAGCGAGATACTCCACAATGTTGGTGTGACCTGTTACACTTGCAGCGAGGAGCGGGGTCATTCCATATCCATCCCTCTCCATGCGAGCATTGCACTTTAGCAGCATTTTCATGATGTCTAGACTGCCCGATTCAGCACAGTCGTGGAGGGCAGTGTTTCCTTTCACGCTCTTGCGGTTGACATCTGCACCCCGGTCCAGCAGGAACTTGGCTATCTCCTTGTGGCCCTTGTAGCAGGAGATCATGAGGCAGGTGTGACCGTGGCGGTTGGCGACTTCCATGTCGGCTCTGTGCTCCACCAGGTAGCGGACAATCTCCAGGTGGCCATCAAAGCAGGCAGCTCGGAGCGGCGTAGAGTTCGTTAGTGTTGCGTTGTTGACTGAGGCACCGTGTTTCAGTAGCGTCTTCACCACAGGAGGGAGGGTGCCCGCCTGCCGAAGCCGCCCACAGCGGCGGAGCCCCCTCAATGGTCTCGCCGTCAAAGTTAACCGATCCTCCGAGTTCAACATTTGCTTTACAGTGTTCAAGGAGGTAATCTACAACCTCCAAGTGTCCGTATCGAGAGGCTATCAGCAGAGGTGTGCCTCCCTGAGTTTTCTCTTCGGCTAGAGCCTCCAGCTCCTCAGGAGTTTTGTTGATCAGCAACTTCTGGATAAGTTTCAGCTTACCATCTCTGGCCGCGTTAAAAACCGCCGTCGTTATATCCATTTTACAGGCTCTGTGCTGCCACGCTGGACATCAACCCCATAACCACCAGTTTCTGGAAAAGCTGCCGAGGCTGGTTTTAAATAGCAGAGAGTATGAATCCCACTTTGGACTTTGTTTCACGCTCACAGCTTTCTGCCATTTTGAGCGTTCTATCAAGATGGCGTTTGTGTTATTTGACAGGTCTCCGTTTACGGTGTCAGTGAGGCATTGTGGGTGACGTAGTTTTGATGGAATTCGTAGCTCCATGAGCAAAGTGCGTTTTCCCTTTTAAAGAACTACATTTCCCGTGATGCATGTGGATTGAATGAACTCCCAGCCTATGAGTTTTTTGTTTTGGCTGTTCGGAGCAACAGGGGGCGCCACCGCAAACGGCCAGAGACAACCTTTACAGAATAGGCTATTCTAACTTCAATGGCAAATTTACTTGGCACATAGAAATCATGCGTTACACGATAAAAATTGAAACACGGTTTCTATGGATAGCCGAATGACATGTATATACATGTTATAATAAAATAATGCGTCGTTAACATCTAATTAGAAAATCATACACGGTTATATATTTATTATGCTTTTATTTTAATTGTCTCTGTAGACCTATAGAGTAGGGCTGTATTATTCCAAATATGACTTGAAAATTCAAATAACTTTTGTTAAAGCTGCCACACATTATGGTGAACACATTCATTGTTGTTTTGCTTAATACACTTGGAGGTTGGTTAAAAAAAAAGATTTGCTTATAAAGATGAAGTGTCCTTTTCCAACAAAACTGTAAAGCTGAGATTTTTATCAGTTTGATATTGATGAGTTCTCACTTATTTGTACTGAGGCTCATTTTACAATACACCCTTTATGTTCAAATAACCAAAGAAGTGTCTATTTGTAAGACAAAGTCAGACTTCAGTTCATCTAAATTATACTGTAGCTACAGACCTAAGAAAGCTAAAGAAAAAAGTTCTGCTGAGTATTTTTGCATTTGGCACTGGGACAGTTATCATCATATCCAATGATCATATCTTTAGAGACCTGCTATTAGGCTACAACACCAAGGATATAGGCTTGATGAAATCACAAAAATCAAACACTGAAAGAAGTGACGTTATGTGCATAAATTTAGTGTGGCATGCAGTATACTGAAGCTGCCGAGAGCTGAGCAGTGAAGGATTAGAATATTTTATTAATAAAAGATTAAGCTTACTTTTGTGAAATGAGTAACCCACTAGTGTAATGACATGACACCTGTGCTTGTTGTTAAAATCACAAAGTTCATCCTGTCAGCCCAAGACTAGAAATGTGTCATTCCTCAGTAAATTCAGCACACGCCTAATGACTGTGTCAGAGTTATTACCTTGATAGTATGCTATTGGTCTTTTCACAGCAGTTCTTCATCATTAAAATGAATGATTATTGTTGGATTTGAAAGTGCCTGGATGGCACCTCAAGCATAACTTTGACAAATTCACTGCATTACCTCTATCTGAGCTGCCCTGACTCCTAAACATCTGATAAACATGTCATATAAGACATCACAGTAACAAACTCAGTTAATGACAAAATACTGCTGTATTTTTTAAAGTTCTGTATCATCATAAAATCTAATCTGTTTTTGCAAGATATTGACTGATGCCTGAAAACATGTCATCTATTTCCACAGAACCCTGCCCAAATCATATCACTAAAAAGAGCACAAAGATATATCTTTCATGTGAAGTAACTACTGCTTTAATGTTGGCAGAGTCTGTTGATTATGACTGCTGACTGATGTTTTGCCAAATGATTTGCTTCAAATATTACGAGAAAGCCACTTCTCAATAAATTGCCCGGTTTACACAAGCAGAAATAATTGCTTATTTTCCCCACCAGTTTCATCTATTTGCTGCCAAGGGTGAGGGATATACATATATACTCTGTTGGTAGGCAGAACTATGACACCCAGGGCTGGTCATTAGTCAAATAAAATGAACCAAAAATGGTTTAAAATCTTTATCATTTTTAAGTTTTAGTGAAGTGTCATTCTAATATTTCACCAGCAGAGGGCGCATAAGATCCACACTAAATTGGTCTGTATTACTCAGTCGGACCATACCTGTATGTGTAACATATTAGTGTCACACATGAGTTGTGTTTTGTATTTTTTTAATGTTTTTTACATCTCCTTATATTCATAAGTGCATTCCCCTTTATCAAACACATAAATCAAGATACAACCTGTCTGTACAAGCTTCATGTGGAATGTGTTCCAACATTTGTTTCAGTAGAGCAAGTGAGCCATGATTCTTCCTTCTGTAATCCCTAATAACTCTTTGAGTTTCACTAAAGCACAGCCTGAATAGGAAATGTGATTTTAAAATTAAACTGGGACTTTGAATGCACACAGAGACAATACTGCATGCAGAGAAACAGGATTAGAAGCCTCACAAATGACACTGTGACAGTCTGTGCCTGGCTCGCACGACCTGGCCTCAGGCTTGTTTGCAAACATGGAAAGCTTGGAGAGCAAAGGCGGGTTTATATATTAATTTCCTCAACCTTGCTTTTGATCCTGAGGAACTATTAGAAGACAAAGTCATTAAGAGTGGGAAAAAATGTGTGAATTTAGTATTTTTATTTAAGATGAACAGCATAACACATAACAGCAATTCACATTATCACTACATTCATTAACAGCCAAAATCTAATCCCCAAATATAAATTCTTTGCACAGAGATCATTAATTTAATCAGGATCGTGCAAAAATCACATGTATTACAGCATTAATACAAAAATACAGCTCTAGCTTAAACAAGGTCATCATTGCATCACACCTGATATGATACTGAGCCACATCACAATGAGCATCGGAGAGGACAGCACCTTTTGTAACAGCTAACCTAATGAGAAATACACAAACGAGGACCACAGCTCCACTGGCAACATTGCTAATTTACCGTTAAAGAAATAAAAAACAGTGCTTTGGATGTGTTTATACTGGAGTGGCTTCTGAAAAAGAAGAGCTATTGATGGCAACTTGGTAAAGTGAAATTTCTACAGAGACCTTGGTTTTCTGTTCATTGGTGTGCATAACACAGTGTGCAAATATAACCCCATAGTCGCTGGCATGCTTTCACCTGTCCAGTCTTTATACGATCTTTGAAATGGGCTAGAAAGGTCGCCAGAGAATAAAAGGACCCTCAAGATGTGGAGCTGCTTGACAGGGGCTTCCTAGAGGTCTGCCAGCAGCTCGCTGAGCAGCACCTCCCTTTCTCCTAGAAGCACATCTCTCTTGAGACTGGTACCTTTGTTCAGTACCTTTATCTTCATGGCCAGACTCTTTACTTGTGCCTGAGGCAGTGCATCGAAAAAAAAGTCCTCGTTGAATACCGGATTCCTGCTATTCTTGATGATGGTGCTCCTCTGTTTCTGTTGCTTGCCAGGGTTGAGATACAGCGCTACACAGCAGTTAATGCTTTTAAGGTCCGTCTGCCTATCGTAAAGGGCCTCAGCTACGAGCACGCGCACCCTCAGTCGAGCCGCCTCTGGGTCGTAGTGAGTGATCAGCCTCACTGTCCCCCCCTTGTGGAGGTTGACAGTGTGCTCACGCTGCAGGAGGTCTGACGCTGCGCCCCTTAAGCCACTGCTCTTACTTCCACGGAAGGCAGGAGAGGGAGGGCAGCGCAAGCGGCGGCGCTGCATGTTGGGGCTGTTGTCTGCTGAGCTGCATTCATCAGTGGAAAGAGAACTGTGGCGTGCCAGGGAACGCTTGGCACGGGACATCTGGAGGTAGAGAGAAAAACACAAATAGGATCATCATAATGAGTAAAACTAAAACACTTTAGTAACACAACTGCGGATGACATTTTACCAGCCCATAGGAACAGAAGTCCTCACCTTGGCTTGTGTCTCTTGGGTGATAGAGCGCAGGAGAGAGGCAGAGCGGGAGAGGAGAGGGGAGTTGAAGGGGGACGACTCTGCTGAGGAGCAGGTGTCACTCTCTCCACCACTAAAATAACGATAGGGGTTGGGGTCAGCTGGGGCCAGAAGAGCCCCCCCTTGGGACCGCCTCTGTGAGTTCGGAGAGGTGAGCGGGCTGCTCGGGTCACTGTGGAAAAGGCTCTCCTTACGTCGGGTGTGAGGAGACTCCATCAAGGTGGAGAAGCCATAAGAGGTCTGAGCCTTGGGGACATATGGCAGAGACATTGCAGTCTGTGAGTGAGGATCTGCATTAGTGTTGACTTGAACACTGACTCGGTCCACTGACCCAGCACCTGGCTCATCAGCACTCTCTATTTGGATGATGTGACGGTTGGCTGACTTCTGGAGATTGCGGGAAAAGAGGCGAGGGCTGCAGGGGTTCTTGCTGCTCCGAGCTCTGGGGCTCTGACTACAGATGGCATTGTCAGAAGAGGAGGGTCGCAAGGAGTGCTGAGGGTCCGGGCTCAGGGACTCCTCTGGTGGGCAGCAGATAAGTTTGGGAGGGATGAAGAAATCAGGGATTTTCTCTGGAGTGAGGACATTTGCATAAACAGAAACAGGAATGGCTTCTACTGTCTGTGGGGACGGAGATTGTTTCCCACTGCTTTCCACGGAGCCACGGAGCTTCTCCAATAGCCACATGCCCACTCAGACTCCTCAGTTCACAGTTTCTCTGTAAACAGAAAAGTGATGCATTAACAGGAGACATCCCATCCAACATGAACAAACAGACACAACCAACAGACCTGCATCTTTTTGTTTAAGTCTATTAATGTTATTTCCAATAAGACATAAACTTTAGACCGATTATTTATTGCCTTTAAACATCTGTCTAAACCACTTCAAAAGAATGCAAGCCAAGAAGCAAGTATTTCAAAATTCGAAGCATTTTCAAACGGCATTTTCATAAATGAGGGGTCACTGCGCAAAGTGAGATACAAAAATAACCCTAGGCAATAGGTTTCTCCTATAAACGATTTACTCAAGTGCTACTGAGGTTTGCATTACCTTAAACAAAGTAGTTTTTGCCAAATCAAACTGCAGCTTTTTCCAAGTTCAAATTAAAACCACTTAAGTAATCTGAATTTTAATTACTCAAAATCGTTTGAAAAAGGCGCAAAGGAGAGTAAATAACTTTCTCTCCTCCACCAAAGCTACATTAACAACCGTGGCGACGCACATTTACATCAAATATATACCTACCTGTTACCTGTATAACTCGTTTCCTTCGAAACGTGATCGCCGCCGTGCGCTGGTCTGCGCTTTCTCCCAGCTCTCTGTGCGTAAAAGGTACTAAGCTATCCCGTTAGTCGGAGTCCAAAACGCCGCCAGCTGGAAAAGACTGCTACATCACACACTCTCGCTTTATATGATGGGGTCTCTGACTTCTGAGCCAATGAGAGGGTTGTGAAACCTTCCCATGGTGTTAACCAAAAAAAAAAGAAAAGAAACTAAACTACTCCCTGAGCAGGCACGAGGGGGGAAACAATTTGATTTGAAGGCTGCTGTTTCATCACCCACAAAGTATTACAAATTATTGTATGTGGGCTTCGTATCTCCTGCCTCATTGGTTTTAAAGAGAACACTACTGTGATTTCATGTGGCGTTCACGTGATTTCTCTTCTGTATTGTTGTCAAACAGCGCACTTGTCCCTATTACACAACAAACACCTTAACTGGACTTCCTAGTGGCAAACCTATGATGATGTGCACTGACAATATGCTGTGCTGACACCACCATCTGTACTCATTTGCCAGTAATATAAAAAAAGAGAAAAAGTCTTTATACTGAGAGGGTTTTTAAACAAAGTGGACAAAAGTAAACACACCATGACAAAGAAGAATTTAACCACAATCTTAAACCAAGCTGGGGAGTCTTATCAATTTGAGCATGTTTTTATACTTTTCTGCTCTGTGATCTGCCAAGATCATTACAGCTTGTAGCCTACCAACTGGAGCAAATAAAATGATCTCACATCATGCCTGTAATTGTTGTGAGTTGTTGTGGAATAGTTTAAAATACCAGTGTTTGTCTATAATCTTCTCATGGATATGTCAGTGGCTTTACCAGGCAATGCCCCCTGTTGTGCCCACAGATCCACAGACGCTCTGCTTGCTGTAGTTGCCAAAACCAGACCTGCAGTGAAGCTGCTGTCTATAGTTTTGGACCCAAATCCAGGAACAGTCTCTCTGTTGAGCTGAGGACAACAACATCAAGTGAGGTGTAAGCAGCTGGTAAAACCCATGCTGTAAGAAGTCCTATAATCTATAATGTACCATTTAGAGCTGAAACAACTTGTCATTTAACTGAGCTGGTTTATGCTATGTGACATTTAACCTAATATCTGAGCATTTTTCAGTAATATTTTATATTCATCAAGAAAATAATGCACTGATAATAAAAGCCATCTTACTTAAATCATAATAGTCCTCTGCCATTCTTTTTAAGTTCCTCTTTCTTTCTGGCAGTTTCCTAAAACCATTATTTCATTCATTTCTTTGCAACACCTGCTTAGTGTCAGGATAAACCTGACCAAAGTAGAAGTAATATAGCCCGATGAATTGTCTTTGTTTTCTATTTGGACTGGTTTCTATTTGGAGAAGTCAAAAAATGCATTCAACCCACGGTGTCTTTTGCCAGGTGTTAAACATGGAGGTGGATCTGTCATGGTATGAGCAGCCATCTCGTAGGAGTCATTTGGACCAGTCAAAGACGTGCAGGGTTTTAAAAACAGCCACCAAATGTGAGGCAGTTTCACTGGACCAGTTGCACCCTGCTGGAACTGAAGAGACCCTTCATGATAGAAATACTCCATATTTACATCCTGCCACACCTGGCTGAGCATTTCTATTATTTGTATTTATTGATTTTTGTTATTTTTTTCCAACTTCTGTGTGTTTACTGAACTCTGTAGATATTTGCATATTAAAGGTTAGGCAAGAATAAGCAGAAATATATATGACAGGACCATGAAAATATAAAGACGCATAGGCTTTTTTTAAATAAAAGGTATCCACGTGCGACTCAAAGGACAGTTTTGTCAATAAGCGTGGCCAGATAATTATACTGCTGTACCAACTTGAACATTAATAACTGCAGGGAATATAGCTGATTGATTTTTTTTTTAAATCAATCATTATCTCTTTAGTTGTGGACACATTGATGTTCAGAAAGGACGACCTGCACCGGTTTGTAAAACCAGTCAATAGGACCATGATCCTGGTCATCACTGTTCAGCAGAGACACTATAAGTTGTCTGTGAATTAAATAATATGACACCTTATTTCTACTCTAAGCAGAACTATTTGTGAATTATTTACTGTACAAAATAATGACAAAAATATATTACCTGAGACACCCAAAAATAACACTTCACTGGCCGTAGTCAACCTAATTAAGCTTGAGTGGCTCAGCAGGTGTGTGATCCTCTCAGTTGTAATTGCTACCAGTGGTGGCTCAGCTAATAGTTTTGCAAACCAGATCCATTCATGCTATTTTTTTTTTCAATATAAATTTTAGTCAATTATAGATTAGCAGTGAGCCATTCCATTAGTACATCAGGGATATGATGGTGGTGTAGCCATCCATTTAGACATTCAGCTACTTTCTATTGTTGTTACAAAGGAATGCTTATCTCACTTTCCTTTAAACTAACTACAGAAATGTACTTTAACAAGACTAAACTCTAAAGGCAGGAGCCACGTGAGGCTGTAATTCTTATTACATGCTAAAAACCAATGCATGGATGAAAATGAGTGGGCAACTTTGCTATTCCTAGCTCTTTAGCTATAGTGAAGCAAAACTCTTAAGGATATAGCAAACAACAAAACAAAACAAAACCCCACAACTCTGATTTATAAATGAGAATAAGGCCACATTTCAGATTCACCTTGTCAGACTATTGAGAAATGCAACTTTTCTTGATAGAAAATGTATTTTTGTCAGCCTCGGCTGTACTTAGGCTCAGTTGACATTAATTATATTATTTTTGAAGGTTTAACACAAACATTATATTTTAGTTTAAACTGTCAAACAACCGAATCTTGTAAAACCTAATTGGGCTGTTTCCTGACGTGCACTACTTGCAATAGTGCTGCACTTATGCACCCAGTCTCAACCCAAAACTGACAGACCCTAGACTATGTGAAATAAGTAAGTAGGCAGAGATGACTGCTGGTCACAGTTTATTCTTAACTTGCACATCAAATTGTCAGATACACCAAGTGCCACACAACATGAATATCACCTTATTATCTGCAGCGTTGGGGAGTAGTGAACTACATGTAATTAAACTAGTAGTTTAATTACCTTTTGTAGTAGCTTGCTGGTAGTTTAACTACAATCATATTTGCATAGGAAAAGGAAAGGAATCATTTTTTAATTTAAATTTTATCCTTGTTGCATGTGAGTGACTTTCCAGCGTCGGCACGGACATTTTCAGTGCCAAATGGATAAATGTCTGGTGGATAGGAACTTTGAGAAACTGTTCGTGTGTTGTATAAACAAGAGTTTCTGCTCTGACATTATTCAGGCCAGTGTTCAAGCTGTTCATATTGTCTAAAAAGGTGCAAGTTCAGATGTTCAGACTGCCATGCTCGGCGGTCCACCATCTTGTCTGCAGCCAGGTCCTTCTTTCTGACACAAACTGCCATTCCTGTGCCAGTCAAATGTTCTCACTGACTGGATCAGCTGTTTAGCTCTACCTACTGTGCCCTGTTGCTAGCAGCATGCCTCTACAGATGGCGGCGTCTTTCACCATCCACTAGTTTGCACAGCTCCCGGAAGCTCAGAGGTGCATTAACTAACTTACACATTTATTTTAGAAATCAAACAAAAATGAGGCAGGATGTTAGTGTGTCTCTGTTATACTACGCTCCTCTGTGACACTCTGGCACTTACAGCGGTTCTGTTGTTACTCCAGCTTCTCTGTCAAAAGCCCTGCCTGTCACACAGGGCACAAGAAGTGTTTTTCAAACCCCTAGTAGTTGCCTCAAACAGCCAGCCAGGAAGGACCTGTAATCTGTTAAACATCTGAAACAGTGGCTGGCAGACTGAAGAGGACACAGAATGGGACAAAGATAGAGCAAAGACCAGGGTTAACACCAGTTTGGCTTTTTGAGATGGAGACTGCTAAAAAGTTAAAATGACTCAAATTTGTAGTTTTACTTAAGTAACATTTTGAAAGCAAAATTTTTATTTGTAACAGAGTATTTTTACACTGTTGCGTTGATACTTTTACTTAAGTAAACCATCTGAGTACTTCTTCCACCACTGGAAATTGTCTAATTACAGTTAACAATCAACAGGTTTATGGCAACAATCTGACAAAAGATTCTCTAGAGGCAAAAGTAGCCCATAATCATGCCCTTATTGCTGATATTATGAATATTAACAACTGTTGTGAGGCGTGGTCATTAACTTCTGAGTCAGTTTGATTTAACATTATTGTGTTTGTAATATCTCATAACATTTCCTCTGGGTACATCTGACTTATAGGGACACACTGTGAGTGGTTGAGCAGCGTCGCTATGATCTCTGATCGGTTCGACATTTAAAAATACTCAGTGCCTCAATAAACAGAACAGTGGCTGTATTATCAGAAAGTGACATTGCCATTTGATATTTTTAAATTTCAATATGCTCACCTAGAATGACTACTACCTTTGACATCACAGGCGGAAATATGAAAACTAAGAAAAAAAAAATATCCAGGAACTCAGAAATAACAGTTATTTCCTTGGTTATGTCATATTAGAACAAAGGCAGCCTAAAAGCAGGACACAGGGCACAAGAGGCAGAGATGTCCACCTACACATTTCAGCAGCATTGCCTTCATTAGGGTGTATTCACCACTGGATGTTTCTTTCTAGTTATTAGGCCTTATTAGTAAAAATTGATCCTGCATCACAGACAAAACATCAGGTCAGCCTGTTCATTTTAGCTCTTTTTTTGTACAGTTTGTATTGGAGGCATAATGGGAGCTAGAGAACCTATTGATTTTGGTGCTCAGTAAATGCACAGCCAGCGCTGGTTGTTGAATTTGTCTCTGAGAAACAGTATAGAAATTTTCAAGCAAATGTCAAATGAAATGTCGTAGTGATTATAGTCACTTCATGTCAGGTGTGTTAAAACATTTACATCCAGATTTTATGAGCCGCATTAACACATCTTGTCGCTTGTCCCAGAACTCGACTAAAATACTGGGGTCACTAATTCCACCTCCAGTTTTAATGTATTCTCCTCCAAGTTTCCAAATCTGTTTAAAATCGCATATAAATTTCATTAAAACTTTAAGCTATCACCACCAATTTTACAAATCAGGGTTTGTTTAAAGGTCTTGGGGAGGACTGCTGAATAAAGAATGTGAAAAGAAGTTGAATAAAATGTTTAGTGGCTCCAGAGGGCTCTGTGAAGTCAAACAATTTGCCTCAGGTAATGTCACTTGAGTGAGCCAGTTGGAGCTAAAGCCTACAGATTTATAAATGATGACAAAATAAATACATTTAAAAAAACCCACAATGTCTCTACTTCTGCTGCATAAATGTTGGTATAAGTTCTAGAAATCTTAAAGGACTGAAATGCTAAATGCATGGACTGCTCTTTGGCATGTTTTGCTTTTCTTAGGTGTAGCTGGTAATTCTTTCAGTTTGTGTGGTGATGGTTTGCATTTCTTATGTTTGCATTTGTACTTCTAACAATCCTCCACAAATTTTTTTTACTGGATGGAAACTAGAAATGTTACACTGCCGGAC